CTCTGGTAGGAATCGAACCTACGGCCCTGCGATTCCGGTGCAGCGCTCGAACCAACTGAGCTACAGAGGCTATATATATATATATATATATATATATATATATATATATATATATATATATATATATATATATATATATATATATATATATATATATATATATATATATATATATATATATATATATATATATATATATATATATGTACTATTTAAAGCACGCGTAGAAGTGTTTTATCACCTGATATAAAACACGACGCGTAGCGGAGTGTTTTATATGTGATAAAACACGACTACAAGTGCTTTAAATAGCTTAAAAAACGACCTATCTTCTGATGAGTACATTAGCGAAGTAATTTTTAAAATAAACTTTGTCTAAACCGAGAAAATCAAAGCTAAAGTTTATGTAAATTAACATGACTTTATATCACATATAAAACCACGACACGCTTATGATTTTTCTTTGTGTTTTCCTCCTGAATTATTAATCAGTTTTTTAAATATATATATATATATATATATATATATATATATATATATATATATATATATATATATATATATATATATATATATATATATATATATATATATATATATACGAGTAGGTTTGTGTATACGAAACGCAAAGAGTGCTCAATATCATAAAGATAGAGCAAATGTAGAATTTCGCTTACCTCAAAATTCCGCAACAGTCTGTTTCATCAGTAAAGAATCATCAGGCGGTATGACCTTGCGGAATGATGAAACAGACTGTTGCGGAATTTTGAGGTAAGCGAAATTATATATATATATATATATATATATATATATATATATATATATATATATATATATATATATATATATATATATATATATATATATATATATATATATATATTTTGACTTTGAGCCCATGGGCAGCCACGATGGCGCCGAAATATGTGAATTAGTTGGCCTTTTCATCCTAAATCACCTAAGTAAGAAGTTTGGCAAAGAAAGCATCGGCCTATATAGAGACGACGGTTTGGCCCTTATAAAAAGTAAATCGGCACGTTTAGCAGACAAAACAAGAAAAGAACTCCACAACATTTTCGAGCTGTTTAACCTAAAAATCACCGCCGAATCAAATTTACGGATAGTGAACTTTTTAGATGTAAATTTCAATCTTAACAACGGAAAATATAGGCCCTATAGGAAGCCCAATGACGATCCGCTATACATAAATAGGTACTCTAACCATCCACCTAGCATTATAAGGCAGCTTCCTACATCAGTTAACAAGCGCATCGCAATGCTTTCATCAGATGAGTAAACATTTATAGAATCTGCACCTGCATACCAAAACGCACTTGATCATAGCAACTTTAATTATGATCTTAACTACACTCAACACGCACCACAGCAAGCACGCAGAAATAGGCAACGTAATATCATTTGGTTCAACCCACCATTTAGCATGAATGTCAGCACTAATATAGGGCGTAATTTTCTTAACCTTATCGACAAGCACTTTCCTTCGCACCACAAGCTGCATAAGATCTTTAACAGAAATACGGTAAAAGTAAGTTATAGCCGCATGAGCAATGTTCAGTCTATCACTAAGCACAATGCACATATAGCTAGGAAGAACAAGGCACAGGGCAAGGGCACTGTCAATTGCAGTTGTTCGAAAAACACAATATGCCCTCTTCAGAAACAATGCATGACTAAGGACATAGTATACAAAGCAACAGTCACAACAAGCAACCCTAACACGACCATGAATTATATTGGCATGACATCAACTACATTTAAAGAGCGTTTGGCTAACCATAACTATACTTTCGAGCATAAAGAGCACTCAAACAAAACTGAGCTTTCGAAATATATTTGGACATTGAAAGATAGCAAGAAAGATTTTAATATCAATTGGCAAATTTTGAAACGCGCTATTTCGTATACGGGAGGATCAAAACGATGTAATTTATGTTTAGAAGAAAAATTTTGTGTTTTGAAAGAAAACCAAAACTGTTTACTCAATAAAAGAATGGAAATTATATCTACGTGCAGACATAGGAAGAAATTTCGCGTAAACAACGCAAACAATACACTCCCACAACTCGATTAGGCATTTCCGCGTAAACAACGCAAACAATAGATGAATGCATGCTTTGTTTCACCCACACACCCCCACGTTCCGGCCAAAACACATATAAGCAGTCCTATTTTCGACACTTGTCATACCGCCTGATGATCCTTTACTGATGAAACAGACTGTTGCGGAATTTTGAGGTAAGCGAAATTATATATATATATATATATATATAGTATAATTCCTTTTTTTGGTATCAGGATCTAGTGGACCACCAACGAAAATAATCTTGAAACCCGTGGATTCTACTGGTGTAACCATTGGTTGGTCCCCTCCAGTTCTCCACCGAAGGGATGGAGTCATTATATCATATCAACTGTGTTATTCTACCCAACGGTTACGAAGCAACTGCAGTAGTAAAGGAAACGTTTTATACATTGAAGCAGAAAACAAATTTGTTAGGTTGGACGAACTGCTGCCCGCGACTGTCTACTACTTCAAAGTTCGAGCTAAAACCGCCACTGGGCCTGGTAATTATACAAAGGAATACAAGATAATAACTAATTCAGGTGAGATGCTATATCTTGTTTCTTATTAGCGTTCCTATTAGTGTTCATTTGCTAGCGCGCGGCGAAAAAAATAAACGCCTGCCGTAATACCATGGTGAAAAGCGTTTTTACGCAAATAAGTCTGTTGTTTTCCTAAACTTCGTTCTTCTTTCTTCAAAATGGCTGAAAATGCGTCGTTTAAGTTTCAAATTCAGTTAAAATCAGAACAGAGAAAGTCCATTTATACTGCGTGATGAACAGGTGAACACATTCTCGTGGTTCTTCCAACAGGATATTGAATAAAGGAATCTGCCGCGAAAGAACACACATGATGCTAATTATAAATCTCGAAGCTGGTTAGATTACGTGCAAAGGTGCTAACTGCAAATGTCAATCACGGTGAAAAAAGCGAAAACGCTTTTCACAATGGCATTACGGCCGGCGTTTATTTTTCTCGCCGTCCTCGCTGCCGGCAGGGCGTAGTAAAACACGGGCGGTGAAACGCGCTAATATTTGCCTGATCCATGTGTGATGCACGGGAGACTGGCGCGAGCGTGCGAAATGCGCGGATCAAGCGGGATTTTTAAAGATGAAGCAAAGCAAAAACAAGAAACAAAAATATTTAAAGGGCAATCAAAAAGTACAATTTGTTAAGGTAAATCTATCCTTAAAATGGAAAAAAATTAACTTGTTATAAAAAAGAGACTCTGGCAATTAATTAGTATTGCAAATTACATCGCTGGAGTTGGAAAAGCATTTTTAAAATGTGAAATTATTTGAAGGCATAGCGATTTTATCATAAAATATATTTACATTTTTCAGGCAATGACAAATTGTAGTCGAGTTTTTTAGCCAGACCGAGTGGAAAAAAAGTTAACTTCAACCCTTTAAATTATCTATAATTAGTTATACTTTCCATCTGAAAAGGTTGGAAAATGGGCTTTTGTGGGCTTTTTTTTCAATTTAAAGATTTATGACCAGGTCACTTGCGTAATTTACAATGACACAACTTGTGACCTTGTTTTGATAAAGTTAGAAAACAATTGTCAATTTAGAAAGCATTGGAAACATTTTCATTAACATATTCAGGCATTCAAATGCAATATAAAAGTTAGGGAAAATATTCAATTATAAGGAACAAACAGAAGATTCCGTTTTTACCATGTTAAAGGTTGTTTTATTTCTCTTTTCGAGCTTACAATATCATATGCAA